AGTATTATTACATGCATATTGTGTGTATGTGTGTTGTATGTACGAACACACATGTGCTACATGGATACAGCAATAGAAAGATGGCACATTCTGACTGGGTCACTGGTGGGCATTTAATAAAGGGACGATTTACAAAGACATGGGTAGGGTGGAGGAAAGTCACAAGAGCTAATGCAGGGCCAGGTCTAAGAGTTGTGGGGCTTGGTTATCACCTTCAGGCTTGAAGGCAGAGGCGGTTCCAGGACTTGGAGACAGAGAGAGTGGTGTGGCGAAGGCTCAGACAGGAGCAGTGGTCACTGGCCCAGGGAGAAGGCCAGCCAGCCTGCGGCAGTTGATGGGGAATGAATACTTAGCCTCACTGCCCTGCCTCCTTCCCAGGCCCCAACGGGAGGCCCACCAGCTGGGCCCAGGAAAGCCTGGGGGCCGGCAGCCACAGGCCCTGTCCACGTGTGGAAGAGGCCAGTACACAGGCCATGCATGTGGTGCAGTGTAAAATGCACAGCACTTCTGACTGTGAGTCTCAGGGAGTGAAGTCTTAAAGACCCTGGAGGCATCACTTCCAGGAAGAGGTGAAAGGCTTCTGAATGGCCCCGGGTCAGGGCTCTGGGTGGCAGCTAAGACCCGTGAGGAAGGGTTTGCCCTGTTCTTCCCTGCAGCTGGGACCACACCCTCCCCCCCACCCCCCGGATGTGCCAGGTTGGAGATGCCCAGCAGTGGGGCTGAGCCCAGTGTCCGCAGGCTGGGGCAAAGGTCACGGAGGAGGAAGGCCAGGCGAGAGGAATGGCGAGGGGAGGAACACAGGACCTGTGGTCGGGATACCCACGCCCGGCAGTGGCCTCAGCCCCTCAAGCCCAAGGGCAGAGTTCTGTTTTTGGCTCCTGTGGGAGCGGGAGACAATGGTCGTCTTGCTTTCCACACGCCTGCAGTCGGCTCGCTGCTCCTCAGCTCCGTGTGGTTGTTCTGGACTCACACAAAACCTCCTCTGAGCCTCGTTTCCACGGGCCACACCACTGGGGGTGTCACACGCCGACCCACCCGGTGGGGTCACATGCTGGGGACTTCACGCCGTCATTGCCAAGTGTGACTGGACTCCAAGGCCGAGTTTCCTGACCCCTAGACCATCCTTCGGGAGCCTGCCCGACACCTGCCTTCGGGTACCCAGTTCCCAGAAGACAGACTCTTCTGGAAAGAAAATAGTTTCCTCTAATGATTAAAAAAAAAAAAAAAAAGGCAACACTGTCTATAATAACAGAGAACACTCACCTCGGCCTTGCTGTTTCCTTAGGTAACAGAAAGCCACCCTGCCTTCCCAGACCTGGGTCCCTCCCGGCTTACTCATCAATGCATGGAGCTAAGGTGTTTACTTGAGAGTTAATAAGGTAGAGAGCATTTTGCCCTTTGAACAGTCCTCCTCCTTCAGAATTTCATTTCCGTCTGCCACGTTCCTGATACAGGTCAAGGTTGTACCAGAGTTTCAAGAACACAGTGAAGGTGGTTTCTGCCCAAACCAGCAGGATCTTGGGCCAGACCCTGGTGTGAGGTCCTGAAATCATCTCCCCAAGGAAATGGCTTGCCAACGTCATCCTTTTAAGTCAACCAAACAGAAAGCAGTTGCTTGACTCTTTCATCAGTCCTAACCAAGTCATTATTAAACCATAAGTTAGAGGAAAAGAAAGGAAAGTCCAAGAGGATCAGGGTTTTCGCAACACAATGCTCATCAGTTTGGACCATGACCTGTGGAAAGCAGCAGGCCAGTGGCAATGCCTGGTTAGCCTTCCTTTCAGTTCCGTTCAGTCGCTCAATCATGTGAGACTCTTTGCAACCACTGTCTTATTCACCTCACGTCGTCCCCACTGGCTGCACCAGAGTTTGCGAAACTCTCCATGAAGTATGTCTGGGGTGAAAGAATGCATTAAACATCCATTACAGCTTAGTTTAATGATGTGGAAAAAAATTAAAGAGCTAACCATGGCTTTCTAAACTTATTTTTTGGCATTGAATACTTTGATTCCAAAAAAACTCTAACCTAAGCCCCCCCAAAATAAATAAAAGCAAAGCAGGACACCCAAATAACTTTTCCAGGTCTAACAAATAGAAATGACAGATATACAGTTAAGATTGAATTTCAGAAAAATAAATAACTTCAAAAGGATAAGTATATCACAAATATTGCATGGGGTATACTTATACTAAAATTTGTTTGTTTGTTTGTGGTTTGTCTGATGTTCAGACTTAATGGGGTGCCTTGGATGTAACTGGTGGTCCTCCACTCAGGCCCATGCACACCCAAGGGTGCCCTGGGGCTGTGCAGGCTGGTTGAGGACCCCTTTGTTAGGAAACACTGTCTTTCTCTCACGCTATCGTCCTGTCCTGCGTCTGGAGCTCCTCTCCCTCTGAGCAGGGCCGATGTCTACTTCCCAGCCCCTCTGCCTTCAGTCCAGGTGTCTCCGTGGCCCTGGGCTGTGATGAAAGACTGCTCTAAAAATGCTTTGGTTTCCTGAAGCTTCAGAGTGCTAAGTGTCAGAATCATTGAAGAGGCAGGCAATATTAGTGACAAACAGCAAAGCCAGTTCACACGACCGTTCCGAGCCCAACATAGATTTCTTCACACCTGGTTTTCACCCCGATCCTGACTTGCCCTGAGACCCTGCCGCCTGTTCCGGGAAGGCACATGATGGAGCTGGGGCGGTTCCACTTCCCACTTCTTGCCCCCAGCCAGTTCCTTCCCAGGTGGACAGAGGGGCCACCACGTCCAAATCCATCACCCCGGCTCTGCCAGGCGGACACTGGTGGCCTCTGGGAGCCCAGAGCAGAGCTGATCAGGGAAATGGTGCACCTCCCTCTCTTCAGCGCTCCCCTCCCTTAAAAAAACAAAAAACAACGGAGTGAAGGGGCTCCTTGGAGAGTCACGGGAACTCCTGAATGCCTTCTAGAACTAGCTTGCTCTGGAGAGGAAAGAGGGGGACCTCAGTGGCTGCCGCCTGCTGAATTTTGCCTGGCACCTTGAGCCCTCTTCTAGGGTAGCTAGTCCAGCGAGTGGTCTTGGTGCAGGGCAGACAGTCCTCCAGCCCTGGTGTGACCCAGACTCCGCCCCTGGGATGCCCTGCCTTGGGGCCTTGACCCTTGGGGGTCGGAAGGGCAGTTAGAAATGATGCTAAAGGACATCACCGGATGTCCCTCTGCACCTCTTTGGCCCCGTGCTTCCCAAACACGCAGTGCTTTCTGAAAATAGAGACATGGGCACCACTTCTCCTTCCAGGGGAAGGTCACATAGGATCACAGCACCCACTCCCCACCCCCGTGGTGTGTGCAGCGGTCAGAGAAATGGGGGCAGAAGTCATGAGCGTCACTTCTGGGTGGAAACGGCATTAAAATCCAGTTCCTAATTCACCATGCTTCCCCCTTCTGTCACAGGAGCCCGCAGCTTTCCAGGTGGCAGCCACACCATCAGCCTGGGTCCTAGCATGACGACCACTCAGAGAGGAGGCCCAAAGAGCTCCAGGCGGCCTTTTGGAGTAAACGCGAAAGAAACGTTTGTTGCATCAAGCCACTGAGCGGTTGGGGTTGTTTGTTACTATAGCGTAACCTCTCTGATCCTGACTGATGGCCACGCGATGTCCCAAACCTCCTGAATGTCAATCACCAAGGGAGCCCACCCTGAGGCATTTTTCCAAGTCCCACTCACAGGCATGATTTTTGAGATCAGCCAGGTTTGGGGACCCCCCACTTCACTCCACACTGACCCCAAGGCATAGCTCTGAGCTGTAGTGACTTGAGTGGCAGCCCCCTAATACATAGCTACACTTGAATCTCTGGAACCTGTGAAGGTTACATTATTTCAAAGAAACATCTTTGTAGATGTAGTTAAGAATCTTGAAAGAGAAGATCACACTGGATTATCCAAGAAGTACAGGTGTCCTTATGAGGGGGAGGCGGAGGGAGATTTAAGACAAGGAGAGAGAAGGTCCTGTGAGACAGGCAGAGAGTGCTGTGATGCAGCTTCTGCCAAGGAATGCCGGCNAGATCACACTGGATTATCCAAGAAGTACAGGTGTCCTTATGAGGGGGAGGCGGAGGGAGATTTAAGACAAGGAGAGAGAAGGTCCTGTGAGACAGACAGAGAGTGCTGTGATGCAGCTTCTGCCAAGGAATGCCGGCCACCACCAGAAGCAGGTCAGGCGAGGAATGATTCTCCCCTAGAACCTCGGAAGAGGATGTGGCCCTGGGGACAAAGTGACTTTGGACTGCTGGCTTGCAGAGCAGTGAGAGAATGCATGTCTGTTGTTTCAAGCCAGTGAGTCTGTAGCACTTTGTTACAGCTGTCAGTGGACAGACAGTGCCCACGAATCCTCAGGGAGCTTCAGTCTCACAAGGGAAAATGGGCTGCACCAGAGAGGGCCGGGCAGCAGGAGCAAGGCTGCCAGAGCTGGGCTGACTGCTGGGGAGACGAGCTCTGGTGGTGGGCGCGTCTGAGCAGAGGTCTGGGGGGATCTGCCATGCAGCTTAGTAGAGAGGGGGCGGGGTTCAGAAAGGGACTGGGAAAGGTGTGGACCCCAGGATGAGGGCCTGGCAGGTTCTTCAGCCCAGAAGAGCAACCCAGTCGGTGCTGGGGATCCCAAATGGAACAGGAGGGCTGGCAAACTTGGCCTGGAAACCTGAGCTGGCATTCCTTCATAGCAATATTTATAAAGCCAGAATGGTAATTTGAAAAAGTGTCTGATTTCAAAATAAGTCAAAATAGTTAAATTCAAAATTGTATCTTTGCCCTGACCACAACCACAAATATATATACATATATTTGTATGTGTACACACACACACACATTTGTATATGTGCATTTGTGCTAAGTATGTATGTGGAAACATATGTCAAGGTTTGTAAACAAAAATACTGCAATTAAACTTCTGATTATAGAATGAGTGTTCTTGAGGAAGGGTGAGGTGGTTGGGGACGAGAAACGGTGATAAAATGAATGGTTAAAGAGGGCAGCCTGGGCAGGCCTGTGCATAAGGGAGCAGACGCTCGCTACACTCGATTGCCCTCTAGTGGCCAAAGTCGGAAAGCCAGTCAAGCCTTGCAGAACTGCCTCCTAGACAAGGTTGGGGTCAGAGCGTGGTGGGAGCACGCAGGAGGAGCCCTCCTGCGCTCCGGTGCGAGGGAAAGCCTCCCAGAGGACACGATGCTTCCACTGAGCCTGGTGATTCTTTATAAGGGGGCCAGTCCAGCTATTAGGGCCCTGACAGGGGATAAGGAAAGGTATGGCTTGAGCCTATATTGCATCATTCGGGAACGCAAAGCGTTTGGTAGGATGGAGAGCAGGCTCTGACAGGATGGGGAAAGGTAAGGCTGGGGAGGGAAGGGGAGGGGAGGCTGTGCTTCCGGGAGGGTTTGAAACGCATCATACACAGTGTATGTATGTGTTTATATACAGCCAACTCATTGAAAAAGATCCTGATGCTGGGAAAGATTGAAGGCAAAAGGAGAAACGGGCGGTAGAAGATGAGATGGTAGAAGAGGAGATGGCAAGGCGTGCAAGGGTTTGAGCAGGGGTGTGATACAGGGATGAAGGGAGGGAACATCTTCAAGTCTGCCCTTTAGACCATCATTCTAGCAAAGTGTGGAACGTGGGCTGGTGGGAGGGGAGTTAGTGGAGGACGAAATGCACACGGAGGGAACCCCCACCTTCAGACAGCTCTTTGCTGTCCACCCGTTCACCTCCTGGGCTCTCTCTCCTACGGACTTGCAGGACTGGAGACGTGGAAAAGTGGCAGAGAACGGAAAGACAGTTAACTTGTGAAGATAAGCACAGGAAACTGGTGACCCAGCAGAAACAGCTCTAGAGCAGCTGTCCCCTATCCTCTTGGCACCAGGGACCAATTTCGGGGAAGACACTTTTTATGCAGACCCAGGGCAGGGGGTGGTGTGAGCCCTGGAATACATCTTCCTAAGAGGGGACTATGGGGGGAGTGGTTTGGGGATGATTCAAGCGCAGTACATTTATTGTGCCCTTTATTTCTATTATTATTACATCAACTCCTCAGATCATCAGGCATGAGGTCCCAGAGTTGGGCACCCCTGCTCTGGACAATGACAGGTGTTATATTAATCTATTGAGTGCTGTTGAGCCTGAGGATCAGCCTGCTGACTCTGGGTGGGAGCGTTTTGAATCCCACCTTTGATCTCTCCTGGTGCAGAGCTCTTTGTTGCCATGTGGCATCGCTAGGGTTTTAACACTTGCCTTCCGTTACACTCCACTTAATAGGAGTTGCTGTCTGCTTTCTACTGCCTGTTGCCAGCTGATGGTTTTTGTCATTGTTGAGTTGTTATTGTTTAGTCACTAAGTCGTGTCCGACTCTTTTGTGACCCCATGGATATAGGCCGCCAGGCTCCTCTGTCCATGGGATTTCCCAGGCAAGAATACAGGAGTGGGTTGCCATTTCCTCCTCCAGGGGACCTTCCTGACTCAGGGCTTGAACCTGCGTCCCCTGCTTGGCTGGCAGATTCTTTCACACTGACCCGCCAGAGAAGCTGGCTGGAGTTGGAGCCTAATTTGGGAGGTGAAGTCAGCTGCCTTCGTGTGTAACATCAACAACTGGCATATTGATTAGGTCACAACCCTAACAACAAAACACTATTCTCTTCTCATCTTGCAGATGAGGCAGTCAAGGCACAGAGTGGCAGAGGGACTCAGCCACAGTCACACGGCTGAGGGGGCGGAGCCAGAAGTGGGAGGCTGGCTCCCGAGGCCCTGCTCTGAACCGCTTGCCCTTCAACTCTCCGTGTGCTGGTCGCCAGGGACACGCAGAACCACACTGAGGAGTGTGTTGCCTTTACCTGTCTCCTTTCCTGTTCCCCACCCCTGTTCAACCTGTTTCCCACCCCCTGCAGGCTATTTAATGGCTAAGTGAATCCTAACGAGATATTAACTAGATGCGAAACACCTGTACCTTCTCCCCTGAAACCTTCCCTTCTGCTCCGTGTCCCAATGTTTGCCACAGCATCCGTGTGTGTTTGCAGAAGTTTCATGGGTGCAGACTCCCCTGTGGGATTAGTGGGAGGGCACAGCCTCTGATCTGGGGAAATTTATGTTCAAAGGGAGTTGAGGTGGATGAACTATTCAGTTTGCTGCTTTTGCTCACTATCAGTGTGGTGAGCTAGTGTTTTTTTAAAAGTGTGAGTGGTCGCACATTAGTGAATCATGACCAATTTAGCACGTCTCAGGTCATGCTATATTTAAATTAAATTAACAGGGAGGCCTGGTGTGCTGCAGTCCATGGGGTCACAAAGAGTTGGACATGACTGAGCAACTGAACTGAAATTACAGTTTATAGTATCATGTACGTCTCATGTGGTATGGTTAAGTATCGTCTTGGGAAATTTTGTTTTAGCTGTGTGCATCTGTGTATGAAGGTGTGCACACACTTGACTATGATATAAAATATATTCTTTCTTTTAAAAGATTTGTTGATGTGGACCATTTTTAAAGTCTTTATTGAATTTGTTATATCACTTCTGTTGTTTATGTTATTTATTTATTTGTTTTTTGGCCCTGAGGCATGCAGGATCTTAGCTCTCCAACTAGGGATTGAACCCACACCCTCTACTTTGAAAGGTGAAGTTGTAACCGCTGGCTCACCAGGGAAATTCCTAAAATGTGTTTCTTACTGTGAGTTCAAAGAAGTTTAAGAACCACGTATATATTACCAAACATTTTTCTCCTCTGGTTTCACAATGCTTGTTTACAAGAGTTTTACAACCCATGTTTTGCTCAAGTTAATATGAAAGTGAATTCCCATCAGCCAATCTACACTGCATAATGGATTGGAGGCGGGGTGGGGGTGGAGGGAAACTGTTAGGCACAGAGCAGGGTTATGCCCCCTCAGCCTCCAGAAGCTCCCCTCAGATGATAACCAGCACCTCACCGCTTAACTTACCAGAGCCTCATCAAAACTGAGGCCTGTGAGCCCGGTAATTGTTTGAATTAACAGAATTTGTTTGGAGCCAAACTTAAGCTATATTTTCCTAGTGTGTGTTTGTCATTAAAATCTTGGAGTTGATTGCCATTCCCTTCTCCAGAGGATCTTCCCGACCCAGGGACGGGTCTCCTGCATCGTAGGCAGATTCTTTACCTTCCCTGAGCTACAGGGGAGTTCTAATATCCTACTATAAGATCCATATTTTAAAAATCCAGTTGATGAATTTATCATTTAGTCTTCCTCGCCTCTCATCAACCAGTCCTGGTCCGTTTGTAGGACTTCCTCCTTGCGTGCCAGGCAGGCGCAGACCCCCACAGATGAGTGGACAGAGGGTGGTCCAGCCAGCCTGGGTCCAGCAGACCTGCTTTGGCTGCTTCTCGGAGGCCCCTCCCCTGCCCCTGCCCCACCCTGCTAAGCCCCCACCCGGCTAAGCCCCCACCTGGCTGTACCACGGGGCCCTGAAACTGGGTCTTTATTCAGCTAAGACATCCTTCTCCTATAGGGCTCCCAGACCCTGGGGTCACTGGGGTTCTCTGTGCTGAAGCCAGGTAAGTGCTCACACATCTGTCAAAACTGACAGTCCTGACCCACCCTCTGGGCAGGGCAGATCGGTATGGAAGTTAGAACATGAAATCAGACAGCCGGGATGCTCCTCTCAGATCTTCCACTGACGAGATAATGCCTTTGGGCAGGCAGTTCAACCAAACCAATAATCAGCCGCCACACCTGTGAGACGGAGGCTGCTAATGCACCTGTTTCATCATGTTGCTGGGAGGGTAAAGTGACGTCATAGAGGCAAGGCATTTGAGCCCCACACTTAGCAAACAGTAAGTGCTCACTGTGTGCTGTCTGTTGTTACCATAACGGTTCTGATTGTTAGGTAGTCTTCCGGGCAGCCTCAGGGTAGCTGTGTGTCTGAGAGCCACACAGGGCCCCTCCCGGTTAATTCCCAATATCTGTTACTCGGTCACCCACTGACTTTCCCACAATAAACCTCTCGCTTCCCACAGGGCCGCGTGTCCTCCACTGCTTTCCCACCTCTTGGTGGCCCACACCCACCTTTCAGCCTCACTTCCTCCATCCCCAGGCCAGCTTTGAGAGATGCTGGCTCCTGTCTTTCTGTGGTCTGAACATGGCAATGTGGGGTGTGGTTGTGAGAGGCCCTGGGTTCTTGCTCTGCTACGTCCAGTCAGGAAGCATGGCTGTTTGGTTCGGGTAAGTCAGAATGGGCTGGAGAGGGGTCTTGAGTCTGAGACTCTGCTGATAGGGAGGGTCCCGCTGTTCAGGCAAGGCCCAGGGCCGAGTATGTGTGACGAGGGCTCCCAGCTGCAGGGCATCCGGCAGACAGAAGGAACCCTGCCTCAGGGAGGGAGTGGACTGGAGGCAGGTGGTCAGTCCCTGCCATCTCCTGGACTCAAGGGAGCTTGAAAAGGTCAGGGGACCCACCGTGGGAACAGGGCCTCCATAGCGGAACTGAGGTCAACGCCCAGACACATGAACTGGGAAGGTCTTGTTTTTGTGGAAAAACTCGGATGTACACTCAGGGTCACCATCTCTAGAACCCACTTGGGGACCGTCTGTGAGCAGAGGTGCCTAGGGACGTAATGTGGGGTTGACTGGCTGTAGTGGTCTGCGCTGGGCCCCGCTCTGGGGAGCCACGTGGAGACGGCCTTGCTGGCCCCGGGGCTTCCTGCCTCTGGGTGTGTGAACCAGGAGGGACAGGGTCAGTGCTGGTTTGGCTCCAGGGGGACAGGGAGGCAGAGACCCGGGGAAACAGAGTCACAAGGAGATACTGTGTTATTCAGAGACACGTGTCCCCTGAGCCTCCTTGAGCTCAATTCTGTGAGATGAGAATGGCGATAATCCCAATAACCTAAGCCCTTTTCGTGTGTTACAGAGGTGAACGTAAGAAGTAGTTTGGAGGGGCTTCCCTGGTGGGCCCGTGGTGAAGAATCCTCCTTGTAGTGCAAGGGACCTGAGTTCGATCCCTGGCCCAGGAAGATCCCATGTTCTGCGGGACAGCTAAGCTCGTGTGCCCTAACCACTGAGCCTGCTCTCTGCAACCAGAGAAGTCACGGCAACAAGAAGCCTGCACACAGCGAGGAAGTGTGGCCCTGCTCACCGCAACTAGAGAAGGCCCAAGTATAGCAACGAAGGAAGACCCAGCGGAGCCAAGTAAATAAATAAACATCTTTTTTTTAAAAAAAATAGTTTGGAAATAGCCGATCTAATGGTCTAATATTGCCGTTACTGTCCCTCCATAAGAACACAAGGATTTACTACAATTCAGTACAGTGTAAATCGATACAACACATTGGGGGCATTCACAAAGGTCCCCGAAATCAAACGAGGGTTCTGAGCATCTGTGGCTCTGAGAATGTGCCCAGCTCGGGTGACAGTGAGTATCTGTGAGGGAGATAAGGGAGGAGAGTTACCTGGGTGTGAAGCTGGCGACACAGCAAGGGTTTGAAGCTTTCTGAACCAGGTGCCTGCCTGCTGTGGTGCTCAACTGGTGTTCAGAGGTGGTACTGTCGTGACTGGGGATCCCAAACTGAGGCCTGCCTGCTCTGAGCCAGTCCAGGGTGGGGTTTAGGCCTTTGGTCAACGTGGGCAGACCAGTTTCTGCTATGCAGCAGGAGAGCTGGTTCAAGGCTGCCCCTGGGATTAAGGAGCCTCACCAAGAGAAGGGGCATCATGCAGGCCCTTCCCTTCCATTTGAAGAGATTCTACGGGTTTACAGTTTTCATATCCCCTCATACATTTCATCAGAGAAGGCAATGGCAACCCACTCCAGTACTCTTGCCTGGAAAATCCCATGGACGGAGGAGCCTGGTAGGCTGCAGTCCATGGGGTCATGAACCCCCCCTGCCTCGGGAGTGTGGAGTCTTAACCAGTGGGCCATCTGGGAAGTCCCTATTATTCCATTTGTAACAAATAGGACTCAGAGTGATTTGCCTAAGGGCACACAACTAAGTTGGGACTAGAACCCAGATGCCAGAGCCCAGACCTGGCCCATCTCCCAGTTCATTTGGAGCTCAGTGTCCCAGGATGGGGCAGGAGCCTGGATCAGACCCCGGCTGGCCAGTAGCTTGGAGGGCCGGAACCTGGCAGTTCCAAGCACAAAGACATGTGCCAAATGTCTCAACGAATTAGAAAATGTGTCTGGTGGCAACATGTGAGAGATATGTCCTTTCTTTCTTACAGCTTTCTGTGCTGATCAGAATTTTTGCATAAACAAGCCTTACATTTATAATCAGGCCAAAGAATCTTTTTTTTTTTTTTTTTCTGGGGCTGGGGTAGTGTATAGCCGAATGAGGGCCCTTCATCTACCAGCAGCTGCTCTTGTGGGCAGGCCTCTGGCCTCATCACTCCTGAGTCCCCTGATGCTCTTTTCCTGATGACGGTCTCAGCAGTTCCAGTCTCCAGTTCTCTCAGCTCAGTCCCCTTTCTGGCAACCACCGCTGCCCTCCCCTGTCCTTTGAGGGTTTCCCAGCAAACCTCTGTGCTCAATTCCTTGGCGGAAGATGAGGGAATCACATGGCTGAGTGACTGATGTTGTCTGAATCATGGAATGGAAAGAAACACTATACAACAAGCCAGCACACAGGGCCTCTGTTACAAGCCTAGTAATAGCACGGTGTGGACATGATTCATCCAAGACTGCCTGGCATGTGCACACGCGTTGGAGCAAGGGCAGTGCCATGCCCGCCTTCTCCGGTGACAACGGGGCTACTCAGAAGGCAGCCCCAGGCCCCTCCCAGGCACACCACGGAGCCCAGTGGCCCTGCAACCCCCTAGCTTGGGGGCTACCAGAGAGGTGTCTGGGCGAAGTCATGGACAGCAGCTGGGGGGCAGGAGATGAAGAGGGTGGAAGATTTGGAGGTGGGGTGAGGATTGGGGGAAGTAACTAGACAGACAGGTGTAGGTAGAATGTGGTCAGCCTCTTCTTCCAACCAGGAAACAGGCTCTGACTTCTCCACTTCACATCCCAGAAACACACGCCAGGGCCCCCCATGTATGGGAGACACACACCCACCAGTGTCAGAACACACCTAGTAAATAATTCGTGGACTCACGGAGTCCTTACGAAGTCCAGGCAAGGTCTCAAGTCCTTGACCTCATCCTCCCAACAGCCCTATGAGAACCGCAGTGAGTCCATGTGGGAGATGAGAACTCCGCACAGGACATGAAGTAACTTGCCAAGGTCACGCAACCACTAAAGAGAATTCTAACCCAAGTCATCCGGGTCCGGAGTCTGAGCAGAGTCCCTCCTATAGGCCAGGCACCACCCCTCACATACATTATTTGATTTAACTCTCACAGCAACAATGCAAAGAGACGTTATCAATGATACTCCAATTTTAAAGATGTGACAACTGAGGCTCAGAGTGGTCAAATATGTTTCCTGAAGCCACACAGCTGGTATGTGGTGAAGTGGGGACTCATCCAGGTCTGTCTGACTCCCAAACTCATGACCTCTACCAGGACATCTTTGTTCTAGTCATTTCTGGGGGACAGTGCCCCTCTTTCCTGTGTCTCCTATTCCACAACCTGTGGTTTGGATTGGTTAGAGTTTGACCCAACAGTAGTAGACTTTTGGCTATTCCACACAAGGTCCTTCCAGGTTGGAGAGGAAGGAGAGGTTGTGCCCAGGGCTACTGGGACGACTTCTCCAGGGGGCACTGTGAGAGTTTTGTGTGGGTGGGGAAGGATGATGGAGGTGAGGCGATGCCCGCAAGCCAGCAGGCCCAGTGACTCTCACCAGACTCTGTATCAAAATCCCCTTTTAGGAAACAAAGGCTAGATGTGGTAGAGGTCCAGGGTGGGGGAAGGGTGACTCCAAGGGGCAGCCAGGGATCACCCTCATCACATTCAGGGCCTTTCCCTACCCTGTGGAGCACCTCCCCTTGGAATCACCGTGAAACTAGAAGGTGAATATGGGATCCCAAAGTGATCCCAAAGGTGATCCCAAAGGTGAATAGTCCATAAGCCACGTGGACAGATAAGATGTTGATTTTGTTTGGCTGGATTTATCGCTCTTACTGTCACTTAAAGTGGGTATCTTTTTAAAAATTATTTATCTGGCTGTGCTGGGTCTTTGTTGTTGTGGGCTTTCTCTAATTTTGCTGTGTGGCCTCTAGAGTGAGCAGACCTCAGTCGTTGAAGCTCTCAGGCTCTAAAGCATGGCCTCAGTAGTTGTGATGCACAGGCCCAGCATCCTCACGGGTCTTCCCTGACCAGGGGTTGAACCCATGTCCACTCCATTGGCAGGTGGATTCCCAACCACTGGACCACCAGGGAGGTCCTAAAGTGAAAGTGAAGTCGCTCAGTCGTGTCCGACTCTTCATGACCCCATGGACTACAGCCCACCAGGCTCCTCCATCCATGGAATTTTCCAGGCAAGAGTACTGGAGTGGGTTGCCATTTCCTTCTCCAGGGGATCTTCTCGACCCAGGGATCGAACCCAGGTCTCCCGCACTGCAGGCAGACATTTTATCATCTGAGCCACCAGAGAAGCCGAGGAAGTCCTAAAGTTGCTGTCTTTAAGCAAGGTATGGGATCTCCAGTTTGCCACAGGCCCCCCCACTCCCCACTGCTTCACACCATCCCACTAACTCAGGCGAGTTGCCATGTTACTCAGGCTCATAACACTGGAGTCTGAAACCCTTGAGACATAATTTGTTGTCAGCATTTCACCCAGGCGGAAAAAAAAAGTACATGGGCCTTCCAGGCCAAAATGAAGACACCGAGGTGCTGGGAGGTCACGGTCAGGTTGCCCCCGAGCAGCTGCTCCCGGAATGTTCAGCTGGAGCTGGGGGAGAGCCCAGAGTTTATTACAGTCACTGCTTATGTGGGGCCTGGCCCCGTGTAGCAGTATCCTATGGCCGCTGTAACAAATGACTGCAAATGTAATGGCTTAAAACAACAGAAGTTTCTCATCTTACAGCCTGGAGGTCAGATCTCCAAAATCAGTGCGTCTGGGCTAAACCCAAGGTGTTAACAGAGCAGCGTTCCTTCGTGTCACTCTAGGAGAGAATCTGTTTCCTCATCTCTCCTAGCTTCTAGAGGCAGATGTCGTCATGGTCCCCAACATAAGGATGGGGAAACAAGCTCAGAGGGTGCAGTGATGTTGCAGGCAGTTCAGGGACAGAAGACACATGCGGAACAGGGGCTGAAGGGCTTGATGAAAAGACAATGTACAGAAATGTGAGCAGAGTTGGGGGACCCACAAGGGCCGGTGGGCACCCAGAGCCTGCAAAGCAGGGGGATGTTGCCACCCTAGGCCTCTGGGATCTGGTATGTGCTGTGACCGGAGGAGACAGCTGCCCACGAGGAGCCGGGAGCCTCTGGGAGAGACATCCACCACTGCCAAATCCCAACCCAGCAGGGAGGGCATCCAGGCCACACTCTCCTCTCGTCCAGCTAAAGCCAGAGGGTGAGGGAGCCCAGCAGTGCAGCTCTAGGCCAGCCTCCGGAGCACAGAGCCGGAAGGGAGGGTGGGGAGCAGCCCAGCGTCTCCCCTGAGGTCACACAGTCTGTGCAGAACTGGCTCTGTTGTTGGTGCTTAGTTGCTAAATCACATTCAACTCTTTTGTGACCCCACGGACTGCAGCCCACCAGACTCCTCTGTCCCTGGGATTCTCCAGGCAAGAATACTGCAGTGGGTTGCCATTTCCTTCTCCAGGGGATCTTCCTGACCCAGGGATCGAACCCATGTCTCCTGCATTGCAGGCAGATTCTTTACCACTGAACCACCTGGGAAGCCCAGAGCTGGCTCTACGCTGGTTCTTGTTGACTCCGAGGAGGAGGTATCTGGTAGGGGCAGACACACCTGGGGAGAGTTTGGCCTTTTGACTTTCAAATCATTTCATGCTTCTGAGTCTCCTCTCCAACTACTCTGCTAATTCCCTGAGCCACCCCCACCCCTCAAAAAACACCTCTGGGTTCAGGTCATCCATCCAACTCCACTGATTGGTTTGGGCTCGGTTATTCCCAAGCGGACTCCATGTCACCAGAACTAGGCATGTCTTGAAAGCAAACTCGGCAGCAAGCACAAATTTGTAGAACCAAATATGCAGCCCACACTGAAGAGAACTGGCTGAGATGGCCTGTTGCTTTGGGTTGCTTCAGCCCTTGATGCCCACATGTGTGGAAAACCTTGCTCCAAGTTTGTTGTGACACATGCTTGGAGTTAG